GTCTGCAACACTATGTTGACTCGAAACAATTCTTTTGATAGTCAACTATTATATATTCGCAGGAATAATACCTAAAAATAGCTATTGCTTGCTATCATATGGTGTGGCTATCATATGGTTGACTACAACATTATCTAAAACATCCTTTTTGTTTGAACGAACCCAGAGTGAACGATTCATCCCGAACTTCTTTTTTATGACCACGTTCAAAAATTCAGCGTGTTGAGAGCATGTAAGAGCTGAATCACGATTGCGCATCGAAGCAAATACCTCAATAGTTTGGCTTAGAGCAAAAGGAAGAAGTCGAAACTTTGACTCTCAATTCTTTTAGACAGAAATAGATAGAATAGTTCAAGTTATTTGTCCAGGAAGCACACCTAATCAGAGCAAAGTTAGGATCACCTTACTGGTCGTCGTAGTCCTTTATTTTGTTCGCTACCACACGGTTCTCATAGAGAAGATGTGTTTTGTAAAATTATGGCGCTGTTTAGAGACACTGTGAGTGAAACTTAGTAGTAGTGTAGACAAATTATATTCATGTTTTGATCACAAAGTCCAAAAAGCGACATGCTTATTATAGATTTAGAAAGGAACAACTACAATATTAAGATAGCTAATGAAAGTGACTTATCCTTGCTCCGAAGTAGAACACGGAGGGTTCAACATAGAGATTCCGCTGAACAGTCATTCACAGTCACAGTCATCGGAATGCTCAGAAAGTCCCACGCCATTAGTACATCCGATATCTGGAAATGGACACGCCCACCCGCCGCGCCGTCGTGGCCACGCCTACTGGCGCAACGATCCCATCGATTCTGTTGACACGGAGCCCGACGAACTGGCTCAAAGTGATTTATTCGTGACATTTATCCTCTTTGTTGGGTAATGCAGGCTGTTTTGGCCCTTCAGTCTCAGCAAAGAGTTTAGGCGCTCATCAACGTTCCTTTCTATGAGCGCCTTCCAGGCTATTTGCGACAGACGGTCGAAAGCCTTCGATCGATAAAGGCTAAGTAGCACGGTCGGCGCTTTTTTCGATAGTTCATCAGTTGCTTGACGATAAAGATGGCATCCGTTGTGGGCCTTACAGGCATAGACCTGCACTATTCTCGAGACATTGGGACCAACTCCTTTGGCCTAGAGTCAGCCCAGAACCAGCCGCTCGTACAGATTCATGGCAAAGGCATAGTGAAGTATTTCATCGCGTACCCCCCCCTTCTCCTTGAAGGTGGGAAGGATAGTATTTGTTCTCCAGGCATCCGCTCAGAAAGCCTGGAGCATCTTTATACTGGTGCTCAGCAAGCTCCTTCCATGCTCCTATTTGTGTTCCATCTAGAGCCACCGCCTTTCCAACTCCTAGTCGATCCCCATCCTCTGTCCAGAGTGTGATGTTAGAAGCAGTAGCCTCTGCTTGTGGGTTGCTCTGGTTAGGGAATCAGACATTCAGAGGCTCAGTGGATTACTCTTCCCATCTCCACTTGGTCTGAACTCTCTTTATCGGAATGGTGCCGTCGCTACTTTAACACACTATTCATCACCGTTATGTTTTGAGTAGCTCGATGCGGTGTCTTAGCCGATCCAAAGACGGCTGCTTTGTATTTTGCTTTCCAGCTTCTCAGAAAAGGCGTCTCTCTGTGGTCTTCGCTTTGGTGACCGCAGTTTTCGCATGCAGGTGTTGTATGCAATGAGATCTTCCGGGCTTCGCATATTCTGCCAACACTTATATGCATCCTTCTTCCGCTTTGCAGTGTTAGACTCCCGCGTCCCAGAGCTGCCTTGTCTTCCCTCAATCCACCTCCTGTCCCAGTACCTCCTTAACGCATTGTAGAAGATGTTAATCTGTTGTTGCAAGTCCGCTGTACTGACAGACCAGGGTCTGGGAGACCGAATTCCATCACCGTTCGTTTAGGAGCGCCCTTCTCCGCTTGGTGCGACTTCCACTACTCTCCGCTCTAATCTTACATTTGCCTTGCGAGACAAGCGTTTTACAGTGCGTACATGGACAGTGTTGTGCAGTACCCCTCCTTCGTCCTTATCCGCACAGCCATGATTCGATCATTGGTATTGTCCACTGAGGAGACAGCTTTTCAGCGTTCGCAGTCACTGTGGCTTCCGCTTGGTATCCTTCTCCATCGTAGTAGAGTTTTGCACCTTCCCCATATTCATAGGCCTTAGCTCCTTCCCATCGCTTCTCCTGAAGTACAGGGTTCGGGTATTCCCGCACAATATCGGATCAGCTGCTTCTCGAACCTTCTGGCCAGGGGTTTTGCGCGCCACCTCCAGGTTTCATCCTAGCATTAACGATTATGGCTGGGTAATACACCCAGCTAGAAGATATGGAGAGTGTAAAGGAAGATGAAAGATGTGTTTAAGAATGATACCCTGACGATCGAGGTTGTGAATTCCATGGTTGGACAGCGATTCGGAAAGGTGAAATTTCGCAACCAGGTGAGCCACTTTTTGAATTCTACGATCAATTACAATATTAGCATTGCTATTGAAATTAAATTTATAGCAATAGATTTTTGTATGATGTGCCGCTACATTTGCCCAGTACTACATATTAGGTTGTTGGAAAAATCTTTTGCAAATTGCCAATGTCTTTTCGAAGTCCCTTTTCGTCTTTGGCACAGTCAACCATTTACAATATACGTCCCACCTAATCGCCAACATTTGTATGTACAGCCTTCAGCAGCTAACTTGTGAATGTCGTTTTATCAGAAGCAGTGCTCCGCTGCTACACTCTGCTTTAGCCTGGTCTGCCTGAGCGGGCGGTTCAGAACGTTCCATAAGGAGCTCGGGGATTTTTTATGAACCTTCTTCGTTATTCGTGGATGAGCGTTGCTACAAACTGCAAACCACTTGATTTTCCGACAAGAATCAATGTCACTTTGAAAGAAAGTTATGCCAAGCTGTATTCCTCGAAACTACGCTCATAAAGGTAATTTGAAACCATTATTACGGAAATGACATTTATTTTGATGGCGACGAAACTTTGCGCAGATTGGAGCCGGTTTTTGTGACTGCTATTTTCACTGAACTTATTGTCAGTGTAAATCTCTGTATAAGGGTTATCCGGTGTCTTGCTTACGGACATGACTGCTCTTTTTGGCATTAGCGCGGTCTAGTGCATATTTGCGCGCTATCCTAGGCTCTCTCAATTATAGTACCAAAGTGTTGATCGGAGGGATCGGAACCACATACCATTGCCAAAAGTTGAAGTATGTGAGATCACAGTGTGAACTGCTTATTCACTCTAGCCTCCCTCCACAAAGGCTCAGCCCTGATCGCGATCAAATCACTGCTGTGGCGCATGCGACTCAAAAATAGGCGTCAAATGGCCAGCCGCGTAATGATTACTACTTATTACTATTGCTTATTACTACTTTACTCAATCAGGGCATCGTATTACCCCTTGGCTGAGCAGAGTTCAGCAGTGGGCCGGCTGGTCTTGACATTGGGTAATACTCCTCGATTTGGATGAATCTGATAAATTCGCTAATCATGGATTTTGTCAGAGAGAGGATGATCTATTCTGTTTTTTAAGCTACACAGGCATTTCCCGCGTCCTGCGAGGATGTCCCGCCCTTGCCCGCTTCCTGACAGCATGGGTTGCTGCTCCTCCAATGGGATGTAGGGTTCTTGTGGCCCAAGCTCTGAATGATGCTCTTGATGCGCTTGGTGATCCACTGGTTCCGCTTGCTTATATATTTTAATAAACCTAAGCTTAAACTTAACAAGAGCAAAATAAGCGTTTTAGTGCTTTATTTGCATATCAGTAGAGTGTTCATACTAAAAGGGTTTCAAATTCAGAGCTATTGTTACTTAGAAGCCATCCATAAGATAACCGATTGCAGAAATTTTGTAGCATCTTTATACTTGAGCAATCACTGTAATTTCGAGCACGGCGACAATACGTCATTCTGAAGGTGAGCGCAGTAAAGGAGGGCTTGCCAGCCTATGAAGGTACTTTCAAGGAATTTTGCTGTAAAGTCACAACTGTGGCACACCCGCACAGAAATGGAAAATTACTGCAGGAGATATATATTGCCAACGAAACCGTATAATATTTTGTACTTATGTGTTTATTCCATGTACTATGTATGCTCACATCAATTGAATTTTCGTGAGAATTGTGTTCCACTGAATCGCTTGTGTGTATCATTTACTTTCACTGATAGTGCTTCCTTCGCACATTATTGGGATTGTTTCGCACTGCAATTGGAGGCAATCTAATTAGGTGCGAAGAATGTGTTTTTCCTCCCTATTTAAACCCTCTCAAAAATACTAGAGCCTCCTTGGTCCTTTCGTCTGCCACGCGGTTAACTTGTTTTGGTCGTGCAAAAGCTCAAATTTGGGTAATTAAACTTTTATTCAATTTGTGACCTTAAATCACATGTACAACATAAAAATTGGTAATCCTTATGAAAAAACTATGTGACTAATGAGCAAAATCGAACCTAAATAGACCTTTAACCCATGAGCGAGTCGCCCTAATCTTCCTAGATTCAAAAAGGTTGAAAAGATAAAAGTCGTATCGCTAGAGAGGAAAAGAGAGTATCGTGAAGAGGGGTTTGTCGCTATGTCGCATAGGGATGCCCCCGCTCGCAAAGGGACGCTCGCAAAAGAGAGTGAGTTGCAGCAGAACACGACGGTATATTCTGTTCCGCGTGTATTTATACTGTGCATCAGAGACCTCTAACTTCTCTCACAACATCGCCCTCGAAGTTATGCCGATAATGCTCTTCAGCTTAGCTATAGCAAGTGTGGGAGACGTATTGGAATTTATCCCTTCGCACGAACTCATAACTTCCGCTGTGGGAACAAATTGAAACCTCTCCTCTGCACGAACTTGCGGATTCCGCGATAGCGCAAACCGAAGCAGAAATTAGGCGGTTTGAAAGTTCGGACTAACTGTAGTGCGCATCCGGCTGTCTGTTTTTTGGCACAACTCTGATACTCTGATATCTACGATGCAACTGGTACTCTTATGCTCTTTTTAGCGACTCGCCGTTGAGAAATACATTATAGTCCCGAACGGAAGCTTCTGTCAGGGAGCATACTATGTGGTGATTGTGCATGTTCCCATAACTGATCTTGAGACACGACAAGGATGGCGTAACACTTACGGCCGACTCCAAGCGAAGGTTTGCTAGTTTTTTTTCTGGTTACCAAGCTGACGATAACTTTATATGTTCTGTGATCAAATTTGATGAGTTCGTGTCAGACCATGATGAGTTAGGCGACCTTGCTTAGTAAGCATTGAAACAAACGTACACAACGCATGTTACTGCTTGTTATTAGACAAATATAGCTGCAGTANAAGCTCTGAGATGGACAAAGAAGCAAACGTGATCCGAGGGGGATAAGTTCTTATGCGCTACAGCCAATCATGTCCGGACTAGAATCTAGTTTTATGAACGATGACTTGCCTCTGCAGCAGAATTCCTCGTACTTTCGTAGTAAACAAGGGACCGAAACATCAGGGACTGTGAGACGCCCCCGCGGGTGTCTCACCACGGAGGCCACGCGGCCCGGCAAGAGGCGCATACACGCCATGGAAGAGTGGCGCGCGATATGTGCGTAGGGTCAGGTTAAGAAGGTGTAGTACAGTCTCATATCGCAAGATCGACTTGCAAATTATCTCTTTTGGCATCTGCGTCTCTTGCTGCGCGTGGGTGTGGGGGACACCCCTCAGAACCCGTGCTGGTTGGGTCGTCCAGACATTAATGGTCGTTTTTGCGACCCTGGTTCTCTGTGATGTTTGGACCAACAATTCATTATATGGGATTGTGTTGTGCATGTATTGAAATTATTTTCGCTTTCTCACTGTATATCTGACCTATCGAACCCATGTATGTTTGCAAGTTTTCCTTCGGAAAAGAGAATGAATGAACGATTTGAATTTCACTTCTACATTCCTGCCGCTCGGTCAAATGAAGCAAAAAAAAATCACGCCGAATGTTGTGTTGTATACCCGTGTGTGTGTTCGAGAGACGTGTTAGAAAGGAATTGTTTAGACTGGTTTCAAGCTTCGCGGTGGCATTCGATCAGAAGATGAGAAAGTTCGTTATGTGTTTCTGCCTGTGATGACCCTTATTTTGCTGGGATGGAAGCACACACTTTGCTGTGATGAGGAACTGCAGGTTTGCAATTCAGTGTGAGAAAGAAGTTGAGAAAGAGTTGCACGATTGATTTTCGACGGGTGAAATGCGAATCAGAGGAGTTCGGAAAAATGTGGGCAGTTGTTGCGTTTTTTTTTGTGCGGAGAGCGATCTTTTTGGGAGGCTTTGTATATGTACACTAGATTTCTCTTTTGTGATATGTCGAAGGGATCCCGTCCTGTGGGACGCACTGGAGTGGACACATTTGGCTGTGAATTCAGATATAATTGGCGGAGGTCAGCTGATAAGGTAAGTTACGTTATTCTGGTACGACACTGAATAACGATCAGTGAACATTATGACTTTGGGGAGCAGGTCAGCCCTGAGACACCGACGAGAACGAAAGTGCGTGAGGAATCCTCGAATTCACAGAGGGGGCGTATGGACCGCGGGGAGAGATCGGGTGCCGTTGATTACGGTAGGGATCATCTCGACAAACATTAAGGATCGAAAATCGATCCAGGCATAGATTATGTTTCATACAATTGATTGCGTCACGACAAAATCTTCGTGGTTTAGAGGTGTATGCCTTAGCAAATTTCCTTAGGTGACTTTAGGTGTTTCATCACCAACAGTAAAGGGATCGAATTGTCGCACGTTGTTAGGGTATGTTACCTTCAAGTAGGTCTCAATCAAAAGAGATGGGAAGACACGGGCATCCAGAGTGGGCCAGTTGGTTGCGCGGCTTCAGCTCGGTATTTGTATACGTAATCTAGTCGGAAGATCAGAGGTTTGAGAGATCATGTTAGATTTACAGAGAGAGATACTCTTCAACAAGAAAATGCAGCCTTTGCGCGGGCAAATTTGCAAGCATGTAACTTTTAAAGTTTAGACGCGAAACATTTTACACTGGTTTGCAGAGAGAAAAGACGAGGATTTTGAATCTGCTCCACTTCAGTATGTAATCGCTCTGCAGGGCTATATCGGGATGGATTGTGCTTGCCTGTAGCGAAAATCCTTTTGGCGGTCTCGGGCAAACTTCACGTTGTTTTTTTTTTTGAATAGTGGACGTATTGGTAAGCAGTGGTTAAATTGCCTAGAAGGGCAATCTCTAGTTATGTTTGAGTATTAATTTCCAGATTTGCACGGGAGTTTGCGGAAGCAGGTTATGGGAAAGCGGGGGGAACTCGCACATCCGGGGTTTCGTATTTTGCAAAATCCTCACGTGGCATTTTTTGAGTGTGGACGTATGAAGCTGCTTTGCAGCGACGTTTTGAATAAGAGAAAAATCTTCTAGTTTGATGTGATTGGATATCTTCTTGAATTATGAGGAATGAGCAAGTTAATTGCTCGCAGAAAGATGTATAAGTCTGCGTCTCGATTTTCCTCGTTATGTAAATAGGTTATTTTTAGAACTTGTTCGTAAGTTCCAGTACTTATTAGAAAGTTTCCAGAACTCAGCTTTCAGATTGGAAATCGTTACTTTTGGAGGAGGTTTCAATATTTTGATATACTTGTTCAATTTCAATAGTAAATAGCTGTCACGGGCCACGCCAGAAGTTCAGTCAACACACAGCTGGCGAAAGCTTTTTGCCAGGTTCTTTGAGCGAAAGGGGGTGTAATGGAGAACTTAATATGTGTAGTACTAGAAGTTGGTAAGTTTGTGGGGAAATAAACAAGAGAGGGTGGCTTGGTATAGTACCATTTCTAGTGATGTTTTGACGGTTTTTTGCTCCGTTTCTTCGTTTGCTTCGTTTGACAGGACTCGCCTTATGATCATTCTTGATTTTTCACTTTTTACTTTTTAAAGAGTTTTTTTGTGGACGCATGGGGCGTAGCAGGCCTTTTTTAATGAGCAGTGGTTTGGTGGGAGAGGCAAACAACTTTTTCATAGTCGCTTTTAAGAGGGTTGTTCATGGACTTCGGCCTGGGCAGAGGGAGGGGAGGCCGACGGTGTATTCCGAATTTCCCCGACGCCTCGCTTGACCTGCTTAAGAGTGATTTTGGAAGTTGGACGTTATTACAGAACTCACTGCGTGAGCCGGATCGCGGTTCGAAGTGAAGACTTTATTCTATTACACGCAGTAGCCACGGTTCTAAGCCAAGGAGCAGTTTTCAAAATACGAAGCCGTGCCCGACTCATCAGATTTGTCAAACCTCTCTCGTATAGACTACCTCGCCTAGGAGCCCCTAAAACTTCTCCAATAGTCAAGTCCAAGTGAAAACTAACTTAAAGGAATTCTTCGCGGAAAATTCTTGCATTCTTTTTCAACATGAATGTATCAGTAGCGATCACTAGATGCAATACACAAAGTTTTACGCATGAAGTTCGGTTTCCGAAGAGAAACAAACTCACGGAAATCCATCTATGGACAATTGAAGGTAATGCGGGAGGAGCCAAAGGCGGTTCATGGAATTTGTAGAACTCACGGGGCGCCTACGTACATATAAGGAGACGCAATGGAAGAATCGGGTTAAAGCGCGCGATTTTGGTGAGTAGAGAAAAATCGGTCGATAGAGAAGGATGGAGTAGAAGTGTGAGATGTGAATGCAATAAGTCAAAAGACCAGAAAGAGCTCCCAGTGATGGCGCTCCAGGAACCAAGTGGGAGCATCCCCGTCGCCACGTCGCCAGCATTTGTAGCATGTGCGGCGGTAACGTGAACCTTTCGGTTTTCTTTTTTTTACCTAAACAAATGCAATTTTTCTGTTCTTTTCATTCTTATCGTGGATGATGGGTCTCAGGCCAGTGAATTGTGGCTGAAACTCAATCATGATTTTTCCGTGAAGGGCTCCTTTAAGCGATTTCATCAGCTCCAGAGCTCCGGACTCCCATGCAAGAGGAAAACTACACTTGCTCCTCGTTCGCGAAGATTTGTGAACTTCAGTGGAATTTAGTTGAGCTGAGCTGAGATGTGTCGTTTGAGCTAAGCTGAGATATGCCGTTTCAAAAATAAGGGTCAAAAGCTGACATTAATAACTGAGCAACCCAATCTCGACAGTGAGTCCCACTTATCTTTATAGCTAATCGATGGAACACAGTCCGAACAATGACAGATGATCTAGCATAAACATTTATAAGCATGCAATTTCATAATGTAGTTTTGAAATATTTCGCGTCTTTTCCATAACCCTGACATAATGATCAGAAATGGCTTTTTAGTTCGGCTTCTCTTTGATATTTGTCACTGGAACAGCAATGACCCAATCGGGCAATGACGTCTTGAAATACGAAGCGTCGATATACAGAGATATTTTGCAAGTCAACATCATCGACACGTACCGTAATCTTGTTCTAAAGGTGAGGTTCAACTGAGATTGCCAAAATTGAGCTTTCGGAGAAACTCATATCACTTGTGTGCCTTTTTTTAATTGCACAGGTATTCGGTTTAGCTTTTCCCGCGTAGAGTTCACGGTACAAGGAGGTGACCTTCGGTGAAGTCGTTTATGCTAATGTTGCTGATTTACTTGGCAGCCGAACGCATCAACACCAAGACTTTCTTTAACAATAAGTTGTGATCGCTCACTATAGCAATGTCATGGTGATGTTTGGAGAGAAGGTGTAGGGAAACGTATTGGTGGCTTTTCCTGAATGTATTGTCTTCTCTTTGACCATGAGGTGATGGGTGCTGGTCAATACATTGCAGGGTCGTGAAGTCGAGCGTCGCTTGTGGTGCTGTACGCGTCATCCAACGCCAAAATATCGCAGTAGGTACCCTTAGTCGTGGTTACAAGGGCGCGCTAACGGTGTGCCAGAAGACCGAATTTAAGAACAGAACGTCTGCAACCACTCGAGACATGCCACTAGCCAGCGGTCTAAAAGTCGTAGCATCCACTGCGTTCTAGTTCTAATTTTGAATAAGGACTCTCACTCAAAAAAAGACCGTTTGTGAGAAATTGCAGAACCTTGCCGCACTACGGTATATCACTGTCGCTTGTTCGAATGTACAAGCAGTCGTTAAAGTGGACGATAACGTTGCATGGAATATTGAAGGATTAAGGACTGTAATTGATGCTGCTGCAGAAGATGAAAAAATCCATTGCCGATGGTGAGGAGCACTTTTTGTTTTCTGAAGTTTCCCCATGGTGCGTATTCTCATGGAACTCACTCCATTAAACAAACCGCTCACATGCAAGTACCATCCCTGTCTCCAAATTAGCTCTATGAATGTGATACTTGGAAAACAACTATGATTGAGCAGGTGAGGCTGGATCATACGACGTCGATTTAACAAGCAATTAGCGCACTATCGACAATACACAAAATTGCGATACTCGAGCTAGGGAGCGGGCCGGTGTCAAAGGCATCCTTGCCACCTTATGCAACACAAAAAACGCTGACAACGTGTTGCTCACCTAATGACGAATTGGTATCCTCGAAAAAAACAAAAAAGTGAAATGAAAAAAGATGAGGAAAATCTCCAACCAGGTAGATAGAGTGGCTATTCCAAGATTTATTCGGCTAGAGATGGCATGAATTTGCAGGGAGTTGTAGCGATTTGTGTAGACGTGTCCTGTAAAGGATGCAACAACGCTTGAAAGGCGCAGCAATTCATTGAAAATATGGGTCAAAAGTGGCTGCGATTTTGAATTCCTAAGAAACGTCTGACCAAAAAGGTACTATCGATCTAGTGTGTTATAGCTTCATGCTACTTCGAATAGTGGATTGGCTAAGTGTACGAAAAGTGATTCACACTGAACCCGCTCTCTGAATTTTGATAGTGACGCTATTTTTGCCACTGACACTCCTTTTAACTCGGATAACAAATTTAGCTACCAGTTCACATGTGAACTTTATGAGGCCCTTGTTTTCACTTCTTTTTTGTCATTCCATCAGTTTCATTTTGTATCAAATTGACTGCGTTCATGCTCACTTGTTTGCAGTGCGAATATGACACGAGAACGAGGAGTCATCTCAAGCAATCAGTGGTAAGCAAGTTGGAGCAATTTGTAAACAACGTTTTTCAAAGCAAAGCAAAGAGTATGCAAAGTCACATCTTCAGGTCTGTTGCAAAACCTCTGCCAAATAATAAGCCGAGCAATAATCAAGATAACAGCTGTTCCTACTGTCTTGGAATCGCGTACGTTTTGCCACACGCAGCAATGCTTCGAATGCTAGACGTGATTAGTGAAGAACAAGTCTTCAAGGCAAGATTTTACCTAATAGCTTCAAGAAAGCACAGATAATTATCATTCAGTTCATTAGCTACTAGAACTCGGTGTTATGGATTTATTTGGAGAACAGACACTTTATCTGGTTTACTTTATTTCAGTTCATTCCGGTTATCAATCTAAAATACGCACAATCTCACTCTGCGTATCGGTCCTTTCTCTGTCCTATGGCGGAATGGAAATCTACTCAAATTTTGAAGTGTGCTCCTCGAAGAATTCAAACAGTTCCAATCTTACTACGTTCAAAGCAATCCCAGAGATATTTCGAAAGACTGGCGAGTACATGAAGTACAATTCAAGGGAATGTAGGTTGTGCATCGTGGTCCATCTCAATTCATTTCCTTTGAGTGACTTTGGAGGCGGAAGAAGGTTGTGCGATGTGGGAGAAGAAGGAACTTTTACCTTTTTTTGTCTCTCTTGAATAGCCACAGTACTGAAAGCCACATCAGCTATACGACTGCTGCTTACGGAAATCAAGTTGTTTGACAACAATGTTATTTTTCAAGTAGTGCATGCGTGGGGCCATGCGCTCTTCTTGTTACTCAATATTGAGCAACGCTATACATGAAGGTAGCTTTTCTATCTCATTTTTGAATTTGGCGTTGTATACTAATACATCACCTGTATCACCTGTCGTCCCGTTAATCATCGATTTGCTCGAGCGGGCGCCAGACGCCTCCATTCGTCCGTCCCTGTCGCGTGCTAGAGTGGTCCAGTAGATCTTCTCGCTCGGGGACACGAAGTCGTTCATCCCCTTCGTTCAGAGCTTCCGTGAAGAAGTCCGGGCTGGCTGTCGTGCAGGTGTTCGTTTGACGTCCCGAGGCATCCAGTCGGTGAGCGCTCTGGTCCAACGGTCATTACAGAATCGCACAACTCGTCAGGGCTACCTTATCTTCGATTCCTTGGCGAAAATGGCAGCGTACCTCAATCTTCGATCGTGGGTGTAGTTCGAACGTGTATATTGTTACTCCAAGCATCGTCCTCTCTACAGCGCACTGGTAACGGTAAGAGCATGCTCGTCCTGCCTGCGCAGAGTCCAAGTCTCTGACGTATGTTGAGCAGGAGGGCCGGAATCGAAGAGGTGGGCATGGAGTCGGATGTTCTTACTCCCTCGATGTTCTTGTACGCTCCCCCCCCCCTGCTCAGCCCTGGAGCTAGGTCGTTCATCATATTGACTTCCCGACCTAGACAGAGGTAGCTAGAGGATTCGGTGATGTTCGTTCCGTTGAGCGTTAATGGGCATCAAGAACCAATCCGTTTCTCATGAAGATCGTCTTCGTTAGCTTTGGCTTACCACAGGCACAGTCGAAATCAGCCAGCATTCGCTCTGCTTGCTCGATACTCGGCGTTATGAGAACGATATCGTCAGCAAACCAAAGGTGGTGTAGTTGCCGGTCGTCGACCTTCACTCCCATTTCTTCCCAGCCCAATTGGCGCATAAGCGAGAGCGGCGCTGAAGAGTTTGGGCGAGATGTGTCGCCCTGTCGAACCCCTCTCATGACGTCGACGATGACCTCTTTGTAGAATGGCGAGATTCTGGTCGTTCCTTTCCAAAGTTCCTGTAGAGCTCACGAAAAATCCTTATGTACTGAGTAGGAACGCCCTGGTTGTCCAAGGCCTCGATGACGGCTTTTGTTTCCTCAGAGTCGAAGGCTTTCTTCCAGTCGATGAACAAGATACAAAGCGGCATCTTGTGACTCGTGTTACTTCAATGAGTCGTAACCGTGTGGATATGGTGGATCGTGCTGAACCCTTTTCGGAACCCCGCTTGCTCGCGTGGCTATCCTTCATCTAGTATCTGCCGATGCTGTTAAGGATGACTCGAGTGAATAGCTTGTAAATTACGGACAGCAGGCAGATTGGGCGATAGTTGCCCATGCCGTCGAAGTCTCCCTTCTTGTACAACAGCACAGCCCTGCTGGTTTTCCGTGGGGTGGGTAGCTTGCATTCCGATGGGTAACGCGTGAAGAGGCGAGCCAGAGTTTTGTCAGTATAATAACAGGCGGCGCATTCGTTCAGGGACGGTAGTAAGCTAGCCAATCTTGCACGTTTACGGGCAGTTTTGATAAGCTACGTCACGTGGAGGTGCAAGTTTTTCCGATTAGAGTGGAAATCGCTTCTATGGCACCTAGGCGACCCATTTACGATACTCTGGCTAAGGCTTCCCAGGTGAGCTGCAGCTCCCTGGTAAGGTGGTTCCTTGTTACGCACAGCCGTGGAACCCCCAGGAAGGACGCGCTGACAGAAAATGGGACGCGGAGGGGCGAAATACACTGTGTTTAGAGAGACGCAGGTGACGCCCGTAACGCGCAGCAAAACGTCCTTCGGAGGACTTTTTGGAGTTGGCCAACTTAAAACTGCCAGGTGCGTGGGTCAGAGCACGGTGTTGGAAAAGGAAAGAAAGGCACCTCGCATTGATTCGTCAGTGGTGCAGCGATAAAGGTTCGCAATCTACGTAGGCTATTCCCTTTTATCCACATTTCTATCACCGCCGATAAGAAGGGCTCCTTAGTGCAGTGGTAACGATGCCGCTCATGAAAGTTTGAACCGGTGTGTTACGCAAGGTTTGCAGGCAACGTAGGGCTCACCACTTCCACTAAAGCGAATTGCCAATGGCTCGGAACATTCCTCGCTGCCACTGGGAAGGTTGCTGGATCTACACCGCCTGAAGTCTAAGATTTGCAAACAACATCCGTCGCTTACCTATTATCAAGACCTTTTCCGATGCTGTGATCGATTGATCCCTGGTGCACTGGCAAAGACCCTTCTTTGAGTTCTGTCGTCCAGGGTTCAAGTCCGAGAGTGGCGCAAGTTTTGCAGATAGTGTGGCGAGGTTGGCGGTTTCAAGATGGGTCAAGTCCATGTTTCCACGTTTCTTGTTCCTCGTCAGTAGGTGAAAATCGCCTGTCATTCATTTGCAATCATTTGATTGCCAGTCTAGGGTACTTTCACCGCCCCAGATGTTCCGGTTTACCCCTTTCTAGACCGGGTGCTGTACGATTCTTCATTCTTGCTGGCAAGTCGGATTTCGGAAGAGAGAAGTGGAGGAACGATGTATCCATCTCCTGCAGTTGGTAAGTATTCAGATGGACATGGCTATCAGAGAGATCTGAGAAGAAGTCGTGGATG